TAGCAACCGTGATCAAAGGAACTTTTTCCTAGCAACCGTAGTCAAAGGTCATTAAGTACAAGCTGTCCTTAGCAACGCTTCCTCTCAGTCACAGACCGTGACTGACATGGTTATATGAACATGTGAGTTCTACATTTTAGCCACAAAGGGGCTGCGCTGACAAGCTTTTTTCATGACTACATAAATTCTTCTCAATATTAGTAATTAAAAAATCCACCCCGAAAGTCTTAATAGAATTATAAAATATTAGATTTGTAATATACAAAAAAAAATTCATTTTTATTCTACTGACTATAATAAAAAATAGTTTTATGTGAAATCTGAAACATAAAAAAAAGCTGTGAAAATGCTTCTTTTTTCTCTAGTCATGGATGAATAATAAGCATTGCTCATTTGAAATCTCCGAAAACAAAACAAATTTAATACTAACCATTTATTCGATTAAAATGTGTTCCAAACTGAATTTTTGTAATATTTCGAAAAGAAATATCGATTCCTTTATATTGTCTCACTTCGGATAAGATCTTCAATGACATCATGAGATCTGACTTATCAAAATCGTCTAGATGTCCTAAAACAAAGATAAAAATTTTATACATTTAAAATACTTTTTTTTACTAAATTTAGCTAAAAAACAAGATCAATGAACAAGGGCGTAGCCAGGGAGATGCCCTAGGTGTCCAGGCATCTCCTTCCATAAAAATGTCTGGAGGGGAGTACAGGCCTAACAAAATTATTCGCCGCAGCCAAGAATTTTTCTGCTCGCGGGCACCCCGGTCCTCTTACCAAATTTCTGACTACGCCTCTGTCGATGAATGTCTACGAGAAATCTCATTTTTTTTCGTATAATTTTTTCGTTGAAAATTAACGTTCTGTAATTTCCAAGAATTAGACACAAAAGAATTATTATAAAATTATTGAATATTGTTGAACTTTGTCATCTATCTACTTCTTTAGTTATTAAAAGAATCATTTATATGATGAAACAATTTACTTTTGTATACTTTGATACAAGATATATTAGGAGATAAGTCATTAAATCGTTCAAGAAATAAATAAAGTGACGGATGTATGTCAAACCAAATAGTACTAATATGTGGCCATTTGAAAATATATGAATAATTACTAAAAGGAAAAAAATATTATTGAATGGAGAAGTTCTCAGAATTTTCATAAAAATAAATATCTTACATAAAATTATTAGAAAATTGAAATGTATTAGTAAAAGAAGAGAAAAGATGTTGACATGACATTATTGGATCAAATAAACAATTAACATTTGTCCATCGATGTGAAATAAAAAAAGGATGAATTTTAAATGAATTTGTTATTTTGTCAATATCATTAGATGATAATTGACATTCTGAACAAATATAAAAATTGAAATCAACTAAATTAGGTATTGTATCAGGTAAACAATATTGACGAATAAAATTTGCATCAATAAAAGATTTTAATATCTTTTGACATTCTGTTTTGATTAATCTATTACTTCTCAGATGAACTTGAAGTTTTTCAACATAATTTAAATTATTGAGAAGCCATTTTAAATAAATAAATTCTAAATCATCGTTAATGAAAGTTTTTAAAATAAAACATCGTAGATTTGGTACCTACAAAAGAATTCAATTATTTTTATTAATCAAAAGAAACAATTATGTAAAGAAATTTATCAAATAAAAATTCTTACTTTATTAAACCAATTTCCATTTGATCGTCTCAAGAGTTCAATATTTGATTGCCATAATGCATAAGAACCCAATGAATAATCAAACTCAACTGATATTTGTTCGAGATTGGGTACATGCTCAATAAGATTTTCAAAAAAACATGTTTGATTAAGTCGAATATGTAAACGACGAAGAGTCATACAACAAGAATGAAGTTGATATTGAATTAAATTAGAAGAGAGATTCGAGTTTGATGTTAAACATTCATGTATATTACTATCTGTCCTATCATTGCTAATATCAAGTCGAAGATATGTTAATTGACATTGTGCAGAGAATATTTGACAAAGTAATTGTTTAATCATATTCATTTGTTTTTCTAATGTTTGATAAAAAAAATAAAATGGAAAAATGTTCTTTCATTAAAAAGATAATATTCTAATTTAAAACAGCGTCTTTTCATTTTCGAAATTTTATTTAATAATAAACAATATTTAAAAAGAAAATCTTTTTCTTTATGAAAATTTTTTCTTTTGATTTTTGAGTTAATACTACAAAGCTCACATTCAAAAAACATCACTCTTTTCAATCGATTAAACTATAGAATATTAGAAAGAAGACTCGAAAAAATAGTAAAATAAATTTGAGTCCAATTCTATTTAGTGAGCCAAATAAACAGATCAATTAATTGACATGAAATGAATAAATGACTAGAATATGTTTAAGACAATCATAAGATAGGATCGAAAAAGATTTATATTTATCAGTAAATGAACGAATTCAATGCTAATAGCATCCAAAAAAAAACAAAAAATTCTAAACAGAAAAAAAATAATGGGGGTAAAATTTTCGATGCTAAAATCTGTATAAAATTTTATCCCCATATGTCTGGAAAGGTATGCATATATGTCAAACTCGAAAGTTGAATTCAACTATTCAACTATCGAAGAGGGGGGGGTGACCAAAGTGAGAGTGAGGCGGTGACCTATGAGAATAACTTTTCTTAGATAAAAGGCTGAACCGTCTGTATCTTAATTTTCTATGATCCAGATGCGTTACTCATCAGAAGACAGAAAGGGAGTTTTTTATCAAAATACTGCAGGACCCACAATGCGCTCCGAAGGAGCGCGTGGGTCTGAGGAAGGAGTATGCGTCTCGGAGACGTAGTCTCCGAGCAGTCGCATGCATCAGTATGCGCTCGGAAAGAGCGCATGTTGATGCCGAGCCTGCTTTTCCCTGCACGACAATGATTGCGAGTAAGTTTAGACTATAAGACTGGGTGAGTATGTGCCTGTGGACGAGACTGCACCATCTGAGTGTGGGTGCAGGCGTAGTATCTGGTTGTGCTGAATGCGTAACGCCTGATTATGGATGAAGTCGCAACATCGGATTGTGGGTAAAGGCGCAACATCCGATTGTGGCTGAAGGTGGAGTATTGCAGTGCGCTTGAAGATGAAGACCTACAAACAGCTAGCGATTTTTGTCAGACCCTATGGCCTAAATATCAATCAGAATAGCCGAGTTGATATAGATTTTAGCATCGAAAATTTTACCCCCATTATCCTCATACCTTCTCAGAAATATGGAAGTAAAATTCGCATATAAGGTGTCTTCTGTAATAAAGATATTTTAATACTACTAAGTCGAGGTATCCAAATTTTTTTGAGAAAAATGGACGCTAATGCAATTAGCACTGAAATCCCATATTAACTCATATTTACATACTATTTTTTGTCATCTAAGTCTTTCTTAATAGCGAGAAAATATTGAATTGTTAAATTGTGTACTTGTACTTATCATACTAATTTCTGTGTCTAAGCAGAGAATTTCATGAAGTAATAAATTGATGTTAAAAGAAGACGTATCTAGTCGAGTGTAACCTATTAAGACGCACAAAAAAGTCTAGATTCATTGAAGTCATTCTAACAGAACATCATAACAAATCTTAAATATAGAGTTTTTCTATCTGAAAATTTACTCAGAAATAAATCTTTTGCTGCCTATAATATACTAAATATTTCAGCATTACTTAATTACTCGTTTCTTAGGCTAACTATTTTTAAAATGAATGCCTCATAAGACATTTCAAAAAGTACAAATTTCTGAAAAATCTGATATGATCAGAAGAACCTGCTTATTTCTTAGCTGAACATTTTGGTAGATTAGAAGCAACATGATACGGATTTAGAGTAAATCAAACCAAAATTCCAATATTTGACATTTGTTAATATATCGTGTCAATCACCAAAAATACATTGAAACGATCATAATTAGAGATGTACGGGACCAAATTTTTTTAAAACGCTGTCTTAGTCTCTATGGGTCATAATGATTTTAGGTTTTTGGATGTGGGTTCTGGTCTTGATTCGAGACTACAGACAATTATATTAGAATTTATTCACATTAAATATGAACAAATTCTTAAGATACTCATTCTTTGATTTATTCAATTGACGAATGCTATTTTTTTTAATCATATCTCCTACAGTTTGCTTTGGTTAGTATAATATATAAGATAATTCACTCACGAATATAAAATATTTCACTAAGTAGATTCTTTAGTTCATTTTTTTCTCGTGGTATCGGACTCAATTCAATCCCAGTAAATCTTCAAATTCTGGTTCCGATCCGATCCTACATATCTCGAATTATAACTCAAAAACAAAATACTCTTGGCACGAATCAGTCTGCATTTTTTCTTACCTCAATAGGTCCTATTTGATGAGATAACTCTTATGTTTTAGAAGTGACTTATCATCCAAAAGTTCCTTGTCAAAATTAAAGATATCAGTTTTTAATTTTTAGTACAAACATCAATATATTCTAAATGTGTCTTCATATCTCATTGTGGTTACAGGTTATACCCTATTCTTGAAGCATAAATATCTATCATAACGATGACAATATCTAAAACAGCTCATTTTTCATAGAGTCAATTGAAAGTGTTAAAATGAGAAAATCTTTTTTTAATTTTTATAGAATATGCACGTTCTAAGGGACCAACTACAGATACTAAGAAGATTGTTTCTTCAAAATAAAACCCTCAGACTGAAACCATTCTCATTTCATCCTTAATGTCCTCTGCAGATTTGCTTCTAACTGATTCTAATTAGCATTTAACACTTAATTGACCTTCACTTAGCAATCACGTAATTATGAAAGTAGATGCGATGAACGTGGTGTTTTCTTTTTATCAGTGAAAATTCTAGAAAAATGAATTGGAAATTGACATATTTATGACAGCTGTTCAATGGACTAGTTTCTACAAAACATACATAGTCTTATGAGGGATGATCTCATCTTGTTTTAAAGAATTTATCAAATAAATGGTTAGTTACCTTTATCAGAAACCATACACAATTGTCTTGTTATAAAATAAAACCGATTGAATACATGTTCATCAAATGTTAATGTAAGTTCATTTAATTGATATTTAATAAGATAAGATAAACATTGAATTACTGGTTCAATTGATCCACATCGAGTAAGAATAAGTGATTTAAGAGTAGGAAAACGAAAAATATTTTTATCATTAAACAACCATTCATAACAAAGATTACAAGCAATTGAATTTGTTTCATCAAAATGAATTCGTTGAATAGAAGAACAAAGAGATGGTGAATTAAAAATCAATGGAAATAATATTGAACAACATTTATTATACGATAAACCTCGCGTAATAAGACCACTGTTTAATCGATTGTCATTTATCGAAAGAATTGAACATATAAGAGAATTAAAACGAATATTTAATGACCATAAAGATATTAACATATCGAACCATTCAATATAAGAAAATATATGAAGAAGAATTTCATTAGGTAATGTTTCTATTCTACTGATCATTTTATCTAAAAAGAAAGATATGTTATACTTTTCTTTTTATAGATTCGATCACTATTGATCATCAATCAAATGATTGGTGTAACGAACAGGGACGTAGCCAGAGGGTGGATTGGGGGGATCGATCCCCTCCATGAAAAATACAAATACTTGGAGGAGGGTACAGGTCGATCAAATTTTGCCAGCCGAAAAACAGTTTTTCTATATGGTGATCCCCCCTAAAACAGTCAATCCCTCCCTTAAGAAAATTTCTGGCTACGTGCCTGGTAACGAGTTCAAACAATTTTTAATTAAATTAGAAAATCATTTTAAAATAAAAAGTCCTCGAAGTCTTGAGACATTAGTAAGTAAGATTCTTTGATCTATAAAGTGATGAAAAAAATCAAATGCAAAAAGGAACTTCTTTTTGTCCATAGCAGATTATTTGTATTTATTCACTATCATGAAAATGAGACATCTTTGTATATGTTGAACATATATGAAAATAATAAACCAGTAGAATGAACTATATATAAACATTAATAGTTTAACTCATGTTCTATTCATGGCTATGTCAATGAAGATATAAGTATAAAGAATAGAGGAGAACGAGTTAATAGAAAAAGGAACCTTTTTTGTCCGGGAGAAAGTACATAATTCTTCTATCTTAACTAAAATGGAACTAAAAAAAAAACAATAAAATACGTACAGATTATCCCAAATTAAATAATTTCGTCTAATATTCCAGAGTTGTTATAGCTGTTCATCAATATACAATGAAGAGAAAAAGAATCTATCTTCATTTCTCTTTCATAGGAGTCAAACGAATTCGACGAAAAACGGTCATATTCGGTCAATACAGTGAAATATTTTAACGTTCGTCCATCTAATATAAGATGAAATGTTATTATTCTTTTTTCTTTCGTCATGTTGATGGGAATATGACGGTCTAGCCCGATTCGATCCTATTTTCTCTCATCCTCACTGCCGCTCTTGTGATGTTTCTTTGAAGTTCGAGACAAATTTTTCCAATGAGAACTAATGTCGGCGCCAGAATTAAAGAGGGGTTGGTGTAGCTTGAATAACTCAACAGCGGCAAGAGCTAGCGACCTGCAGTGTTCACCAATCGAAAGAGGAGGAGTGGGGACCAGAGATGCACGATCCACGGGGTTCACCCCGCGGGGCCACGTGGCGACGGGCGGGCGGGGAAGCAAATTTTAATTAAATACGGGGTTAACGGGGCGCGGGTATTTGCCAGCCCACGGGCGGGCGGGGCGGGGAGCAAATTTTTAAAATGATACGGGTCTCGGGCGGGGCGGGTATGAAATACACGGGTTCGGGCGGGTAAACATTTTTTTTCGGGTGTGATAAAGAACCGTCAAAGTTTATGAAGAGATGTTATTACTACAGATATGCATAGTACAAAGTACATATCAATTGGTTTATTGATTTGATTCTATTAGGTGCAAGCTTGTCTGTTATTTGTGTCTTTCTTTCTTTCTCCTCCGTCATGCACAGTTTCCACTACTAATTTATACTAAGTGAATAACTGGACTAAAACTTATTTTATATTTATTAAGAAACACTGCGCAGTAAAAACTTCTTTTTCTTATCAAAATTCAGATTTCTTAACGATGAAATCATTGTAGAATGAATAAACATTCTTTATTGTTTTAGTAGAACATAACGCTGAAGACGATAGCTTCTTGAAACAGAATTAAAGTGATTGACTCGAAAGAGTACAATTCATTCGAATAGGAACTCTCGATTCCGAAGTAATAGGCACAAAACTATATCATTTATTATCTTTCATTGTTGAAGTCACTCAATAATTAATGAAGTTCTATTGCAAATTCAAAACTGAACTGAAGAAAAGAAGCCAGCAAATCGAAACGTTAAAGAAACGAAGTAATTCGCGAAACAAAAACTTTTCAAAATACAGGGAAACTATACAAGATAATTCACTAATTTTCACCAATTTTCTTCAGGTTATTGTATTTCTACAAAACATCAGGAACTTTTTTATTATTATATGATCAGATAGAGCATTGATTACTTCATCCTATGGTAGTTTTTCTTTGATCTGTCTTACGTGTCGGTCAAAAAATGAGTAAGTTTCGTGAAGCAGGCAAAAACGTTTTTGCCAAATTTCAACATGTTTTCTTCGAGTAATTATAACATATTGGACAAATAAATATATTTTGTTTTGAAATAGTTTGATAGAGTATCTTTTATCATTTTAATTTTCAAATTGACTGCAAATTTCATGAGTGTTTAACAAATGTTTCGGATACGTTTTCAATTATTTGCCTTGGTCCAGTTAATTTTAATCCTTTAGCTATATCTATCTTTTCCATTAGTATACAGTACAATGGAGCAGCGATTTCTCCAGTAATTCATGCAAGTTTAGCCTGACTTCGTTATAAAACTTTATAGCTCAATTTAAGATTATATGAACAGCACCGGAAATGAAGTAATTCGAATGTGTCTAAAGTTCCAATAGTAAAATTTTATTTTCTTCTCAACTTCGAAACATTTTTATTTAATACTTTGTGTAAGTTTAAGCATGAAGGATCTCATCTATGTATGGTTAATTTTGCGACAATCGAATTTAGCCTGAGTCAAGTATATAAGTTTGCGAAGGGAAAGGGTATTGATATTTCAAAGTATCTGTCCTACCAGCGTTGTTGAGGATGAAAGTTTTTAAAAAAATATCCAACAGCCTCTTAGCTAGAATGGTGATGAGATATCTGTTTATAAAAGGAATGTATGATTAAAAAGTATTTAGTAAATAAAAAATTTCTTCGGGTTACACGGGGGCGGGGCGGGGCCCGTCGCAAAAATGACGAGTCGGGCGGGCCGGTCCAAGAAGCTGCCTGTGCGGGGTACGGGCGGAGCGGGTATGGATTTTTCGGGGCACAGGCGGGGCGGGGGTTTTCATAAAACTTATACACGGGGTTCGGGCGGGACGGGTTTGTGAATTTCACGGGGCGGGCCCCGCGGGGCTTGAAAAATCGATGCCCCGTGCATCTCTGGTGGGGACGTCTTTTTCTCTCATAATGTATAAAACGAAATCGTTTTAAAACTAATCATATTCGAAAAACATGCAAAAGAACTCATGAAAATGACCTGCCCGCTAGATGAAATTTTGATTTTGACCTTTGATTTAGATAGAGGGACTTCAGATCTATAGCTCAAGATACAATGCAAATGGTTGTCTTATTACATTCTAATGCTGAGCATATGAAACCATGCACTTACATGCGCAAAAAAGACGGGATTTTGCTGATTTTTTACTAAGTTTTCGCACTTTTTATCCTAGTAGCTTGAGATTTCGATGAAGATGTAAGATAAAGTAAGAAAGCGCATTGTGTCTTGAACTATAGATCTGAAGTCCCTCTATCTAAATCAAAGGTCAAAATCAAAATTTCATCTAGCGGGCAGGTCATTTTCATGAGTTCTTTTGCATGTTTTTCGAATATGATTAGTTTTAAAAGGATTTCGTTTTA